ACATTTGCTGTTATATTAAAGTTTTTCTTCATTACCCATTCAAGCCGTCTCCAGCCATTATTAATTACACAATAAATCATTCATTAAAAAAGGAACCAGCCCTAAAATGATCCTACATTTCTTACGCCACCATCTTCAGAAGTAAGAGCTGAAGTTTAGTAAAGACTAATATACTTGCTCTGAACCAAGAAGTTGGTCCAGGCTTAGAAGAAATAAAGTACTGGACATATGTTTTATAAATTCTGGATGATTTAAGTTTTAAAGTCTAGATGGCGCTAAAGGAATGCAAATAATTGTGTAGTATATAAATCTTGACCAAACTACAATTTACTGCTGAAGATGGTGGTGTAAGAACACCAAAACACAGAGTCATTTTAAGGGTTGGTTCTTATTTTAGTAAATCATTTATCGTGTAATTATTTTAGCGTTGTACTTTAACTGTATATATGATGTCAAAGAACGACATCTACTTACCGACAGAGTATTATCAATGACATTCCAGAAGATGACCTTAATCACTAAGAGAAAAAAATGAAGAATGAGGTTTAATAAATAGTGTTGGTGAGCTGCTTGACTTGTTCAGTTTGGTTAGACTGATGACCAGCACCAAAAGCTGCTTGACTTGTTCAGCTTGGTTAGTCTGATGCCCAGCATCAAAAGCTGCTTGACTTGTTCAGCTTGGTTAGTCTGATGCCCAACATCAAAAGCTGCTTGTCTTGTTCAGCTTGGTTAGTCTGATGACCAGCACCAAAAGCTGCTTGACTTGTTCAGCTTGGTTAGTCTGATGACCAGCATCAAAAGCTGCTTGTCTTGTTCAGCTTGATTAGTCTGATGCCCAGCATCAAAAGCTGCTTGACTTGTTCAGCTTGGTTAGTCTGATGACCAGCACCAAAAGCTGCTTGACTTGTTCAGCTTGGTTAGTATGATGACCAGCACCAAAAGCTGCTTGTCTTGTTCAGCTTGGTTAGTCTGATGACCGGCACCAAAATGTGTTTGACTTTGGCCTTGTCTAACTTTTCATTCATCCAATCTTTTAGCTTTTACATCTGCACAAAATTGGTCGGCATATCGCGTCTTACTCCCGGATTTCCAGATTTGGCCCTACACACTTACCAAGCCGCTGTTATTCTTTTTTTCTGTTTACACTATAGATTGCTTGTTAAGTATTAACCCAGAGAATTTTTTTTTTTAACAGACTCTTCTTGCCTTAACATCAAAGTATTTATATCAAGTAACCAACAACCGTGCATATTTCCGCAATGTGACCATTGTCGTTCCTTCTACATGGTCCAGTGTGGAGGCCGAAGTGGAAGACATGTATCGTTATTCTGACATTAGAGTAGAGGTTGGAGGAGATTCAAAGTATTCACCATATATGTTACAATATGGCGGATGTGGTCAGCCTGGGAGATACATTGGTTTGTCATCTGAATATGGAAAATTGAATACTGATTTAGAACTTAAAGGTAATAAAGCATTCCATACAAGTTTAAATGATAGAGTAATCTGAATGTGACAGTTTTGATGGTAGACGAATTCAATTGTTAAACTATTCTAAGTTTATTTCTTAATCTATTTCACTTTATTGTAAATAGTTGTCTTAAGAAACTCGTGGCTTTTGCCTTTGTGAACTAAACATATTGTTCTAACTATAAAGACTTTATTGAATCATTAATAAATGTCAAGCAGTGTTTTCTACTGTCTCATACTAGATGGTGCTAGGATATATGAACAAGTTCAGGTCATACTAGTCGTAGTAAGATCTAATTACTGGTTAGTTCCCTGGTGGGGCAGCAACACGTTTAACGACTTAAATCGCTAGAATCCTTGGTTTGATTCAGCGCGGTGGACACAGCAGATAGTCCATTGTCGTTTTGGTTTGAAAACAAACAAAATTACATGATGAGTTGGAATTCTAAACCTGATCACCGTGTTAAGTGTCAGGTAGCTCCTCGAGTCCGATATAGCTGTCTCCAATTTTGAGCTACTGCCAAGATGGAAGACAGCTAGCCAGCAGTCAGAAAGTCTTTGTTCGGCTATTCGAGCCAGGTAACGGAGTGAATCGTGTTCATTGGTATCATCGAGCCCCTAACACTTTGACCTTCAGTTCGACACGTGAATTCGCTGCGTTAGACAGAAATTTTTAAAAACTGAAGTAGGCTTAGAAATACTATGTGCTCGTAAGGTGACGTACGAAATAAAAACCCTCTGTTTCTTAATTCAAACATATTGAAGTGTACGATAGTGGCCATCAAGTCCAATTTCCTTTTTTTGCTGTAACAGCATAACGTTTTACATTGTTACAAAACCAAACAGGGCTGATATGCTTATCTACTTATTCTTAAAAAGAAGCCACATCGTGCTATCTATCGTACCTACTGCGGAGTTTAAGTCCCTAATCTCACTAGAGAACGTGATGGTACACACAGTAAAGATTATTTATGATTGGATAACTAACAGTGTTTGTGGAAATAACAAGTAAAGATTACTCATGATTGGATAACCAACAGTGTATGTTGAAATAACAAGTAAAGATTACTCATGATTGGATAACTAACAGTGTATGTTGAAATAACAAGTAAAGATTACTCATGATTGGATAACTAACAGTGTATGTTGAAATAACAAGTAAAGATTACTCATGATTGGATAACTAACAGTGTATGTTGAAATAACAAGTAAAGATTACTCATGATTGGATAACCAACAGTGTATGTTGAAATAACAAGTAAAGATTACTCATGATTGGATAACTAACAGTGTATGTTGAAATAACAAGTAAAGATTAATCATGATTGGATAACCAACAGTGTATGTTGAAATAACAAGTAAATATTATTTATGATTGGATAACTAACAGTGTATGTTGAAATAACAAGTAAAGATTACTCATGATTGGATAACCAACAGTGTATGTTGAAATAACAAGTAAAGATTACTCATGATTGGATAACTAACAGTGTATGTTGAAATAACAAGTAAAGATTACTCATGATTGGATACATTATGGTGTCTGCTGGGATAAACGGTAAAGACTGTTTGTGATTGAATACATAATGGTGTATGTTTGGATAAACGGTAAAGACTGTTTGTGATTGAATACATAATGGTGTATGTTTGGATAAACGGTAAAGACTGTTTGTGATTGGATACATAATGGTGTATGTTTGGATAAACGGTAAAGACTGTTTGTGATTGGATACTTAATGGTGTATGTTTGGATAAACGGTAAAGACTGTTTGTGATTGGATACATAATGGTGTATGTTTAGATAAATCGTAAAGACTGTTTGTGATTGGATACTTAATGGTGTATGTTTGGATAAACGGTAAAGACTGTTTGTGATTGGATACATAATGGTGTATGTTTAGATAAATCGTAAAGACTGTTTGTGATTGGATACTTAATG